GAAAATTAAATAAAAACAATAACAAACAATTAAGTAAAAGGAAGTTATTATATAGGTCCTAAAGAATTATTAATTGTGTTTTTCTGTCAATCAAATACTCGTTTGTGAGTTTTATGGAGAGAATAATTGGTGTTGGGAGAGGTAACGAGGTGTATTAAGTTACATAGGAATAGTGAGGAGTAGGTAAGAACATAGTAGTAAACATGGTGGGTGTTTCAGAAAGGTGTTCTCGCCTCATTCTCTCGTTCTGAACTGTGTTGCCGTGAGGTGGAGTCGGTTTCCTGGTCAGAGAGAAGGTTTGAAACAGAGGGCGTCCTTCTTCTAAATGGTGTCTTGATAATCATTTTCTTGGATATTCTACGGACAACCTTGGGGTGAGGTGATGATAACGTCCTTGTCAGTGCCGTCCTGAAGGGTCGCGCTAACACACTGGGCCTGGAGGGGGTCAAGGCAAGAGGACTCCGGCGTGAAACGTTGTTATGGTCAGACGTCACATGGTCAGAGATAGAAGGTGAGGATTTAAGTATGGTGGGTGGTGGGAGCTGACGTTTGATGGGTTCTGGTGGTGGGGGTCTGGTGCGTTGTGGTGGTGGGGGCTGACGTTCGGTGGGTTTTGGTGGTGGGGGCGGACGTTCGGTGGGTTTTGGTGGTGGGGGCGGACGTTCGGTGGGTTTTGGTGGTGGTGGCGGACGTTCGGTGGGTTTTGGTGGTGGTGGCGGACGTTTGGTGGGTTTTGGTAGAAGGGGTGGAGGTCTGGTGGGCTCTGGTGGCAGGGGTTGAAGTGATGTGGGGTCGAGTAGAGAGTTCTGTTCTTCCTTCAATACCTCTAATGGCTGCTCAGGTGATCGACGACGGAGAGTGGAGGGTTCGAGTCTAAGTGGTGTGTGATCCTGGTCGAAGGATAAGGTCGTGCGACTCATGATAAACTCCCTTTCTTTCTCAGGGATGATCGATGTCTCACTGAGAGTCATGGTTTCACTTTCTATATTGTAATTTATTTCTGGTATGTTCCTCTCCTTCACACACAACTTAGTCTTGCTGTTCTTGTTGTCTGAAGGATCACACAGGCTGTCTTTCTTGTGAGGGTGGAGCTCGGTGTCGTCTTGTGTGTTCTGGCCATCGTTAAGGTTTATCTTCGTTTTCATGGTTTCGTCGCGGACATAAGAGGGAGGATACAACTGGCTGTAGGTCTCGTCCACACGCTTGTAAGCAAATACTGGCTCGATGCTGCTCCAGGACGGATGGAACGACCGGTGACTTACAGTACCCAGATCTATCTCGAAGAATATGGTGAGGTGCCCGGGATACTTGGCTTCATACAGTAGCAGGGCAGCTCCTACTGTCGTCAGCACGATGCCCATTGCCGTCGTCAGCCACCACGCAAATCCCAGGTGTAACTGCATTATGGCCCCGCCCACCATCAGCTGTGGGGGAAAGTGTGTGCCCACACAGACGACGTAGGCGAGGGTGCACAGAGCCATGAGCACCCCCGTTAGCATGAGAGGGCGAGCCGTCAGGCCCGGAGCCACAGTGAAGAGCACAACCCACACCGCCCACACGTACATGGCGGCCACCAGCAGACACGAGGCGGCAAACCCCGCTGCTCTGATGCCGTCACCCAGATTCCCGCGCCACGCCAGACCCTCACCACCCAGCTCCGCCGTCACACCTACCAGTGCCCAAGGCCATCCCTCCTTCAACGCCGCCTTGTGGGCAGTCACGAGATCCACCCGGGTAGTCCACGTCACCATCTCGTTGAGGGATAAGTTAGCGGCGACGTAGGTGAGGTTGACGTGCCACAGGCCCGCCCACACGCCCACGGTGCCGTTGATGGGCGGCTTCAGGGGACCAACGCTCATAAACACCTCCGCCTGTCCCACCAGCCATGACGACGACCCGAACACCACCGAGAGGATGAACCCCGTCAGGAAGCACAGTAACACCTGTAACACGCCACACTGTAGCTCACATAACCTGTAACACACTTCACATCAGCACTAAACTTCCCTCACTACTCGTGGCAGCCTTCAGTAACGTACAGTAGCTAAAACAACTATCTGTGCAGGTGGGGGTCGATATGCTCCGTGTGACTACTAGTCACAGCCTTCATATACCAAAATTTATCGTCCATGGTCTCATATTGTTTCCCACAAAGTATGCACAGATAGTTGTTTTAGCGACTGTACACATTTTCATCTCATCATTTCCTGATGTCTTCTTCCAATATCATTAACATCCAAATTTGGAGATAATAAAGTTTTATTCTTAAGGAAACGTTCATTATGACAGTAGTTTTAACCACGACCGTCAATTATTTCCAGAATTTTGAGAAATATTGTGAGAAAACTTATAAAAAAAACTACTCTCATAAAAAATACTTGGCACCTCACACCCCTTAACACCTGCCGGGTGACTATAAGGTGACTCTCCTGACTCTACAGGTGTTCTACCTGAGCGGGGTAGATGGAGTTAATGCTCTTAAGGAGTGTCTGAACCCTGGGACCACATCTTTTATTTACCAAGTCTAAAGAATATTCCATAACCTGGTGGAGCATAAGCCTTATAGTGTGTGAAGCATGACGGGATCTATTTTAGTGTTAAATATAAGGGATAATGCCACTAATAAGGAAGAGTGTAACGCCCTATGTGTAAACAGGAAGTAGTAAGGAAGACCAACTCACCACCATGAGGGAGGACCAATGCTTCTTCCTGTAGGAGGGAAGGATGATGACGAATGCCAGGATGGGGAAGAGGAAGATGAGGACACAGATAACGGTGTTTAAGTACCAGACGAAGGCCGGGCATGGCATCTCTTGGTGGGGGTAGTAGGTAGGGCCGCCACCCTCCCGTGCCAGCGAGAACCACCACCAGTACTCATTACTCATCCTCACTGTGGAGACGAGAGTAAACAAAATGATTCCAAAATGGCGCTGGACGAATATAGTGTAAGTGACCTGGAGGGGAAAAACGTATTGATAATTAATTAGTAATATATATATATAACTCATACCTCATCGTGCACCGTTTCATTAGTTTCATGTTTACTTTAATTATTTCACCCAAACATATTCTCAGAAGGTCAGGTTTAATTATATTTTACAAGGATCTTACCGAATATAACTTGTATTACTGGCACATATTATTAACATCACTTTTTAACCTGAACGAACAAAATTTACCGCCTTTTAACAAGGACGCACCCGTGAACGATGCCTAAAACACACACACAATATTTGAGTAATACGTCACGCTTAATGGTTCATTCCTAGTAACATCAGACACAGTTTAATTGGTGTTTTTCTATGTCTGGGCGGCTGAACGGGTGCAACAGTGGTTTGTTTACATGGCGGGGAAGTTTACTTTTGTTGTGTAACCGACCTCACCATACCTCGACGATGATCGACGCCATCTTGAATTTTAAGGAAAATTTTAGTAGATAAACAGTTTCTCAAGAATAAGGTAATAGATTGTTCATTACATAACACTCAATAAACTGCTGGAGTGTATATTTCCGTCAACAGGATATGTATCACTTAAGAAATCTAAAGAACCCGAGTTATGTTCAGGACGGCCACAGGTGTAAGACCTTCAGGTGACGTGACTGACTCAACAAACGTAAAAAGTTAAAATTCCTGAGTTCCACGTGAGTGTATCTGCCTTTGAGTTGTCTCTTATTAGACCAGGTGTCCAGGGCTTCACCTGATGGGCTACAACAGCTAACACATCCGTGACGATGTATTGTAATTTGAGATACATGTCGGAACAATTACTGTCAAGGTCGTTAAACGTAAACACACACACACACGGTAGGGAGGAACACTTCACCTCAGAAATATTCAAAAGGAAATGCCAATGTCCTCAGCTACCCGGAGCAACGATCAACTCAGCTCATCACGGTGACCAAGTGTAAACAGTGACTAGGTCTGGAACTCTGGATGTGTCTGAGGAGTGAGAGGTCTGAGGAGTGTGGGTTTGTGACTCAGTGTCAAAACCACCTCATCCACTGACGAAAATAGTTTGATACGCTCGTTCAAGTCTCGAAACAAGATTCACACGAGGAGAATCTAAAAAAAAGGATTCGTGTCGCCATAGAGATGCACACTGGTATATAAATCCAGTTGTAATTTTGTTTTTTAATATTAGAACTTGTTTCTCCTGAAGGATTTGCCAGATAATTTAAATCTCCTGATGATTAAAGGTTTGGATCTTTAGGTAAATTTTCAAATTCTTTCATCACCAAAGAGAACGGGAAATATCTGATACAAGAACCCAAGTCTGAATCCGGATTTTGGGGGTCGAAACACGCCCTCTTAACCTGCCATGAAGCTGGACATTATAACAACTCTTACATTATCAACTAAAGACGGTAAGACAATGAACTTAGATACGTACAAGAACTTTAGAGGTGATCAGCGTTTTATCACACAATATTGTACGTATATAAACTCCTTTTTTATCAAGAACTGGTGAACTACAACACCCAGACATCACCATTATCGTCCTCTGGCGACATCTTACCTGCCATCTTGTCGCTTTCCACGGGCTCTGGGTCAATTAAATGTTAAAAAAATCCTGGTTGAGGTTAGGTTTGGTTAGGTAAGGTAATGTAAGGTTGTTATAATGTTATTACTGCACTTCAACAACGGAGGTCTTTAAGCGCTTGTTAGGGTTAATAATACACTAGTTCATAACCTGTATTACATCAGGGACTCTTACCCATGTTTAGATCTGGTAACACTGTCCTGTTTTGTGTTACTCATCATGACTGTTTATATACAGGAGTAAGGACGTCAGAATCCTTTACTTTCCAGACACGGGAGTCCTTGTCTCAGCTGCCAGGAGAACAGGAGACTGTGTGTCAGGTTAAGGCATCTTCTCCTACTTAGACGAGTGAGTATGAAGAAGTGTTATTATTTATCATTGAACTATTTTTTTTATCTGTTTGGTAATAACGTGAAATACGGAATCTGTCGTGATTGTGAGAAAAGAAAACCAGAATATTATTTTTATTTTATTTTTATTTTAGAATCATCTTGTTGAGGACGATAATTCCCACTTAAACTAATTTGGAAAAACTTAAAGTATCACATGAAGATTACACCCCCCCCCCCAGCATATTTCATTTGATCAAACACCCTAAAGATACCTGGGTTAAGTTTGATTAAGTTAGGTTAGGTTAGGTCAGGTTAGGTTAGGTTAGGATTAGGTTAGGTTATCGTCAGGGTGTTTAATAATCAGGTGAAATATACTGGGGTTCCGAGTCTTCAGGTGATACAACTTTAATTACAAAACACACTGGCACTCTGTACATCACTATGTAACTATCAAGGGGCTAAAAATATCATGTTATATACTGTCTCTTGAAGTAGCCACAGGAGGGGAGTAAGAGGGGAGGAGAGGGAAGGGAGGTGGTGAGGAGGGAGTTGACACGAGAGATACGTCCTCCTGGTGATTCTTCGTCCGTAAAAGAGTTCCTTAAATAATACATCTCGTGAGTGGGAGAAGGGAGGTATGGGTGGGATAGGGAGGAAAGGGGTGGTAGGAGAGGTGAGCTGTGGGTGCGAGAGGGATTATTGAGTGGGAGGGAAGGAGACTGTCAGCAGGAGCCTTAATGAGGGTTATATGTATACTGGAAGAGTCTAAAGTCTTTCTCGTAGGTGCGGTAGAGGCGATCGATCTGCATCTTGGTGAGGTTCCTCATGTACGTCTGTAGCTCTGAGCTGGTCTTGGTGGGGTGATACTCAGGGAAGTGCAGCCATTCTGGGGCTCTCACCCGCCGGAGGAAGTGTTCAGAGTCCACGCTAAGAGTCTCATACTTGCCGACGATGTCATACTCTATGCTGCAGAGGTAACAGTGTCTGGCGAAAACATCCCAGTGTCTGTCTGTTCTGTCACCTCCGTTATTGAGGTAATCCACAAACTCTGTCCACTGGATGTCTAATTGATTGGCGTTTGGGCGAATTTTTTTGACGTAATTATAGACGGGGGTTTGTTGTAGTGTCACGTCGGGACCTTTTATCTTGTTCTTGTAGGCTGAGACAAGGCGTTCGAATGGGTGACGCACAACTAGGAACTTGGTATACGTCGATAATTTTCGGATCATATCAATCTTCTGAAAAAAATAATCTTCTCTTAATAATATCACATTTCTCTTTACTGGTTATTGTACTATTATTATGATATGTTATTTGTACATTACCAAAACAATTCTATATTCAATGCCTACAGATATGACCTCGAGGCCGTCTTGTTGTTCACTCATATGTTGTTTATTGTTTTAAAGAGGCTAAAAAAAATCGACCTATCCATGACTTATGGCACTTGACACAACTTGTACATACTGGGATAGATCCTCGCCTTAACACTCTCACCAGTACTGTAAATAATTGTCTCGGTGGTGAGGAGTCGGCGGGTCAACCAGGCCTCTGCGTAGGGCCCCGGGGGTGACGTGGGAGGTATAGTGAGGTAAACAAACATCAAATTTTTCAAAAGTTGTTGACAATGGTGGATAAGAAATTCCTCTCTCACGAAAACCCCAGAGGAAAAACTTAAAGGATTTCGATCAGGTGAAGGAGTCTAGGATCCCTGTTGATCATTAAGTAACCTCACTGTCGGAGCAAGGCGACGCATCTGGCGACCTAAACTCCTCTATGCTGTGAGTCACTACTATTGCCTCCTGAAGGAACTTTTATGTTCATTGTTTAGGATATAAGATAAGGTGTGTGGTGGAGATCCTGGAGACATTGTGAGTACCTTACCTGGCGGTTCTCTTGTAGTATTCTCATGTAAAGAAAATCATGTCTCGACATAGTCCTCGGAATGTTTTCGAGACCCAACAACTTCATCCACACAATTCTCCAGCTGGAACTCGCAATCTGATGAAGTTTGGACAAATTAAATAATATTCGAATTAATTAATATACAAACCTAACACGACAAAGCAAAATAATGACTAAATATTGGTAATGGCTGAGTTTAGAGCCGGGTTAAATGTACTGTACTCCCGAGACACCGTGAGGGGGGAGAAAAGCACTCAGTCAGTCAGTCAACAAATGCGTTTACGAGACTTTTAAATGTAGCTATAAGAGTACCAGCAAGACGTTCTGCTTATCTTAGTAAGCTTTCACATTACACAGACTTTCCACCTTTCTGCTGGCTACGATATCCACCGCCTCCCTCCCTTCCTACGCCTTCCATTACACTGACATGTTTACATTCTTCCTCGCCTCTCACATGTTTAGTCGTAACCTTATATTTTGTTGTACTCCTTGCTAGAGACACTTTACTGTTCAGTAATATTGCTGGTGTTTACAGCACCTTGGGGATGAAGCAGTAGATGGCCTTGTGAACATCGTCTATCAGAAGGTGAGGAAGATTGGGAAATTCTTGTAGGGTTCTACTCAGAGCAGCTGCAGTAGGCTTACCACCACAACCTTCCTGTACGGCAGCTTTTCTCTTCTGCTGCTCCACCTCCCAGGGAGTCTCGTGTCCCATCCCTACAGCCTCCTCCTGTACTGGGACAATCCTTCTATACCACGTCTCAAACACACCTGTTGAAGACAGAATAATTAGTTTGGTGAAGCAGCAACTCCTTGAGTCTCACCTCCACGTGCTGGGCTGTTGGGGTCAGTGATTAAGTCTTTTTTTTATCTTTCTCATTATAGTAATTGTACCAACCTGTTTCAAATGGCATTACCTTACCTGGCCTCATCACTCACCCTTCGGATTCTTGTTGACAGATGACCGGATGACGTCGATGTGATAACTGAAGAAATATACGATATTGTTACATCTTCACTACTTAGTGTTGTCATTATAAATAGGCTAACATTCTATCTCCATTTAGTTCTGTTACTTTACAAATATAATTAAGGCGTATACATGAACTATGAATGTTTATCTTTGACTAAAATGGATTTAATGGAATAGAAACACAATACTTGTGAAATAGGAGTGGAACCTAACACAACCTCACCAAATCTTAACTTATCCTAGTCTAATCTAATCTAACCAAACCTTATTTACTCTATCCTACCTAACCTAATATATCCTAATATCAAGAATTTTACCTTTACAATCAAAAGTTCAGACAATTCTAAGACATTTTTCTTCTATGACGTTTCCAGCGTAAATGGCCAATATTGTTATTATTATTGTTATTGTTTTTGTTATTATTAGCAATATAATTAAAGTGATACTATTTTGATCTTTTTATTACTACGTCAACATCTTTAAACTCATACAAAGTCATTTGAGTTATCCAAGAAACTGGTTATGTATATTCGTTTTCTCTGTTGTGATAGAAGAAAATGAAGTTAGTTTAGGGGTAACTTTACTACTTTTTAATTTGTTTGTAAGCTGTCGCAATTATTTTACTTTTGTGTACTTTATTTTGTTTTAGGCTGTGGATATCTATCCGGTTGTATGTTATGTAGTTTATTTTTAGAATAACATCAGGAGTTGATAGAATGGGACGAAACTTTGTGGAAAGGTTATTTACAATCGATTAAATAGAACATTTTAGTCTTACCTTCAGCAACCACTGTATCTTTTTTCACATTTCCACCACAACTTGGTTTAGCAAGTGACATGCTTGCATACATGAACTCATTATAACAGATTTCTGAAGCACGTTTATAACTGTCAATAATTTCCATGACAATAGACGAAAATAAAAAGGAAATCATCCCCAACGGTATTGAACTCAGAGTTGTCCACTACGTTTGTTTTGTTCATATTTTAATCTATGAATAATAACATTAACGGTTATAATATAGTGTTTATATGTGTCGTATTGTACTAGACAAATTGTATAGCTCCCCAAATATCATACACGTTAGCAAAAATTAAACAAAAAACACGATTAGTTAAGTTATAACAAGCAATTATTTCCGAAAATTGCAAAATTAATAGTAAAATAATGCATAGTCGGTTTTGATGACAAGTGATCGTTGCCTAACACCAGCTGTACACTGTTCCTCGGTGATGTGGTCTTCAGGACGGTCTTACTTGAGTCAGCCAGCCAGGCCCACGCACCAGTTGACGCTCTTGCCAATGACATCATAATTCTCACACACAGAGGAGTTGTCAAAAGTACCGACTTACCACAAATGACTGTTGTAAGAACGTTAAAGAACAAATATTTCACTTAAAAACTTGTAATATCATCCACATATTGTGAACAATGATTGTGGGAAAAAGAACATTTCTGACTTTCGACACAAACACAATAAGTTTGCCATCTCACTGCACTGTATATGAAACAACTGTAGTTAAGTGTGCCAGTACTCACCATATGAAAGTTACCAATACGATGGCTGATAACAAGTACATAACTTTTTTCCATGTCCTCGCGTTCATCATTGTGTTGTAGCTCTACACTTTATGTTGGATTATGATGTTGAAGAACTGGGTTGTGGCAAGTTGTAAGTTGACGTTAACAACCAGTAATAAACTTCTCTTGTTGATGGTTTATATGAAGTTGTTTCACTGGTCAGATGAGTGTTGTTACAGTTTGTGTTGAGTCTTTAACAACCAATCGTTAGCTTCAATAATTCTGTTTATTTATCATCTCTTGATGACACCGTCCAGGTGAGTGTGTTGTGATCGGCTGTTGTCTCCTCCGCCACAACCTGAGAGTGAGTCCTCACAGTTACAACATAATGTACTCCTTGACACCTGCCAGGTGATGAAGTTATCGAGGAAACTTTATATATATATATATATATATATATATATATATATATATATATATATATATATATATATATATATATATATATATATATATATATATATATATATATATATATATATATATATATAACATGTGTGCACACGTGTTACGTCAGGGATTATTTACACTACATTAGGCTGCCCGGAGACATGATAAGTATACTTGACACGCATGTTCAAGGAAGTTATTCTACACTACATCAAACTAACACCCACAAGATATGTGTACACATATGTTCACACAAGTAACTCCTTACACAACACCACTACACGAAACCTGTGTTCAGTATCTTCTTCACCTTACTGTGGGAGGCAGCCGTCCTTGTGTTTAAATTATTTACTTAGTGTCTTTGAATATAAAGTATTATGTGATAATTATAGATTTCTTAACTCAGAAATATAAAGGGACTTTATCCCACTCACCGTCACTATAACTGGACTCTAAGTTAAGTGTCAATAGTGACTTTAACCAAAAACTATAATGATGTAAACTTGAGTCATTCCTAGTAGGTCCTCCGCCTCACATCCCACAAGTCTGTATAATGAATGGACGCAACACCGTTATAAAACATTTCTACCGAGTGTCACTGAAATGGTTGCTTCATCAACTCTTCTGAACAGAAAAGATTCAGTACACAGTCAAGTGTGAGACTCTTGTGGAATAGTTGATAATTTTAGTGACCGGTGTTGTGAGGCAAGATGGCTACCACCGCCACTCAGCTGTACGTGGCAGAGAGCCGCGTCCTACACCGTGAAGAAGAGTGTGACAAACATTCATTCATAAGTTATAAATACACATTTGTCTTCAACACAAAACATTCGGTACTTAACTATTTAATGATCACGTGAAATAAAAAAAATCGGTTGTTCTGCTAATACTGAAATTTGTAGAAGTTTACTCACTGGAAGTTTATGCACCTCTACTTACCTCTTTGACAACTCACTATTACAAGTCTTAACACATAGCCGTAGAAATACAGTAGCGTGATCTGTGGCGGAGATGACCGAGTAGGTTTCAAGTGCTTGCTGTTCCGCGGAGACAGGAGGAGTGCGAGCATCTGCTGCGTGTCTTAGGAGGAAACAGGTGTCTTGGGATCTGTAATCTGGCAGGTGTTAGTAAGTCTTCGTATACATGCAACCAATACATGATACTTCTGGTGACCGATTTATACTTTAATATACATCTGTTGTATACATATAAAATACATTGGGTATATATGTTCCTTATACATCTCTACAGTTTCGAAGATAAAGAATAGAACTTTGTTAGGTAGGTGAGGGGTGGCCTGGAGGACTGTTCTGCAATATTCATAAATAATGTAGTTTAGTTTAATGAATTTTTAAATGGTTTACTAGAAGGCAAATTGAGTCACAAATTATCCCACAAACTACAAGCAAACTGAGAATTTATTTAGCCTTTATTGAGCCTCTGTTGTTTGGCCTTTTGTATAATAATCCAAACTTTTATTAATTGTCTTTGTCATTCACAATTAATTGATTGTTTTATATGATTTTTGTTTCCATTTTACTGAATATAGTGAAGTAATGATCAAATATCACAATGATCTATAATTATGTAGACTTTACCCTCGCCCCTATGACAACAGTCAATAACTACAACAATTATATATCATTCTGAACTAAAACAAATTATACACAAGATTATAGTTTGGGTAAATATTTGGATTATAGTGAGTTTGGATATTTAATCTCATTATATCATTGTACTGATTATCTCGTATCGTGTCTTATGCCCCTGTGATTTGGGAGTTCATAGTTTGGACTTAACGAGAATATAATGAACGAACGTCTGTACAGATCTATACCTACGTAATTATTAAACATATTCAATTTATTCTTAACCATATGGAAAAAAATTATCAATGAAAAACAAAAGCGAGGATATAATTTTTATTTGTTTTTGTATTAGAATCATTAGTTAAGAAAGACGTACTAGTTATGGATAATGAGCTTGGGTAATTAACCTCTATTCAACAGTTTAAGGGATTTGAAAACAAAGCAAAAATCACACTGTCACTTTTAACTATTAAGACGATCTATCCCTACAGTAACACAGCACTCAATGATTTACACAAGATTATATAAGATCTGATTTAGTACTCCCTTGTGAAGTAGTTCCAGCAGGCAGAGAGGATGAGGGTGGGTAAGAGGGAGTGAGAAGTGGTGAGGAGGGAACTGACACACAGGACACATTTAGCTGTACAAGCAGGAGATACTGTCACACAGTGTCACGTCCTCCTGGTTGTGCTTTGTTGGTAAAAGAGTTCCTTAACTAATGCATCTCGTGGGTGGGAGAGGGAGGTGAGAGTGGTGGGATAGGAAGGAAGGAGTGGTAGGAGAGGGAGATGTGGGTAGGAGACGGAAGGAGTGGTGGGAGGGAAGGAGACTGTCAGCAGGACCCTTAATGAGGGTTATATGTATACTGGAAGAGTCTAAAGTCTTTCTCGTAGGTACGGTAGAGGCGATCGATCTGCATCTTGGTGAGGTTCCTCATGTACTTCTGTAGCTCTGAGCTGGTCTTGGTGGGGTGATACTCAGGGAAGTGCAGCCATTCTGGGGCTCTCACCCGCCGGAGGAAGTGTTCAGAGTCCACGCCAAGAGTCTCATACTTGCCGACGATGTCATACTCTATGCTGCAGAGATAGCAGTGTCTGGCGAAAACATTCCAGTGTCTGTTCTTTCTGTCACCTCCGTTATTGAGGTAATCCACAAACTCTGTCCACTGAATGTCTGACCGTTTGACGTTTGGGCGGATTTTTTTGGCATAATTATAGACGGTTTTCTGTTGGAATTTTTTCTGGGGACCTTTTATCTTGTTTTTATAGGCAGAAAGGAGGCGTTCGAATGGGTGACGTACAATCAAATATTTGGTGTAAGTCGACAACTTTTGGCGGAGATTAGTCTTCTGAAAAAAAATATGTAGTTTTATTTTGTTTTATTAATATCACATTCTCTTTATAGATTACTTAATGTAAGATTAACTACGAAAACTAATGAAAAAAATGTGTTACCTGTGACATGAAGATAAACAATGAAGAAAGTCCGGTATTAATCCTTACATATAAAATGGCCCTCTCGTGGCCATACCTCTATTAATCGCTTTAATATGGCCTCCTCCTGGCCATAGAGTTCACCCAGCTCTGGATTACCTTTTCTCTATTTACATTCTCTTAATACCAAAGCTCCGCAGGTAAGGGACTAATACCAACTTTGTTTATCACACATTAATGACTTTCTCTCTCTCACTTAATATCTCAACACACTCCTACACAGATGATTCACCTCTCCACAGAGCCTCTACTCAGATCACCTCAAACCCTCACGATGAAATATGAATACAAGACGACATACAGTATGCAGCACATACACCTGAGTGTGGTATATCTAACTTGGTATTCTTTAGTATTAATAAATCACATTAATACATATACATAGCAATAGGAGATTTAGCACATCATTCACCATCACTCAAACTGGTATTTTAATCCATATCTTCACTATCACATTTACCACGACAAAAAGGGCAAATTCTGTCAGAAAATTAGCTTAAATTATTTTATTGATTTTGTTTTAAATTATCCACGTAATATATACAGGCTATATATATATTTTTCAGGCCAATATAAACACACATACTGGAGTGTAATGACGTGATGTGTATTGTGGAGACGTGTAAGGTGCAGTATAGGGTGTGAGTAACTTACCTGGCGCTTCTCTTGTCGAATTTTTGCATTAAGTACCGCGTGAGGCCTTCGATTTCCTTTACCCTTGTCGGGGTTTATCATAGAAAGCCACACTTTCTTAAAAGATGTGCTCGAAACCTGAGAAAATTGGAAAAAAATTATACAACTTTCGAGATAATCGGTGTAAGCGATGGTAAAATACTGATGACAGATTGATAATTATAGCTAACTGTACTCCAGGCAGCACCAGCACAGTATGAGAGGGGAAAAGTTCCCTATCAGTTAGTCAGTCAGTCAGAATATACGTTTATGGGGCTGTTAAATGTACCTAAGATAGAGTTGTCAACATTTTACAGGGGATACTCTAGCAGTTTCAAGACCTGTTTATGTGAGTAAATTGTCAGATTATCAACGACACTCACGATCTTACACCAACAATAATATTGCTGGTGTTTACAGCACCTTGGGGATGAAGCAGTAGATGGCCTTGTGAACATCGTCTATCAGAAGGTGAGGAAGAATGGGAGATTTTTGCAGGGTTCTACTCAGAGCAGCTGCAGTAGGCTTACCACCACAACCTTCCCGTATGGCAGCTTTTCTCTTCTGCTGCTCCACCTCCCAGGGAGTCTCGTGTCCCATCCCTACAGCCTCCTCCTGTACTGGGACAATCCTTCTATACCACGTCTCAAACACACCTGTTGAAGACAGAATAATTAGTTTGGTGAAGCAGCAACTCCTTGAGTCTCACCTCCACGTGCTGGGCTGTTGGGGTCAGTGATTAAGGTTTTTTTCCTCATCTTTCTCATCATCGTTCACAAATATTCTGTCTCAGGTTGACACTGATGGTTAGGTGTTACCTTTGTTGTCATCATCACCTGGGCGTCTAGCACCTGCCTGCCTCCTGAGCGTCAAGAAGGAGACAACAGGGAACATGGTGGCGGAGCAGTGACTGTGGGTGTTGGGGTAAGGCACACACACGCACACTTATTACCTTCTACTAAAATTCTTGTCAAATTATTCAATTATCATGTAAATTTAGTTACAAAAGTAATTAATAATTACTAATAATTACTAATTATATACTAGAACAACCTCACTCTACTGGGTAACTATAGTGACACAAACTCCGACAATGTGTACGACGACACCACCAACACTCACCCCACCACCAACACTCACCCCACCACCAACACTCACCCCGGGGATTCTTGTCGGCTAATGTATGGATGACGTCGTTGTTGTACCTGAAGAAATATACTTTGTTAGGATTTGTTGCCGTATAACTCTCGGTGACTACACAGATAAACACACAGGGTACACTTGAGTAAGTTTGCCATCTCACTGCACTGTATATGAAACAACTGTAGTTAAAGTGTGCCAGTACTCACCATATGATAGTTACCAATACGATGGCTGATAACAACATGAACATAACTTTTTTCCATGTCCTCGCGTTCATCATTGTGTTGTAGCTTTACACTTTATGTTGGATTATGATGTTGAAGAACTGGGTTGTGGCAAGTTGTAAGTTGACGTTAACAACCAGTAATAAACTTCTCTTGTTGATGGTTTATATGAAGTTGTTTCACTGGTCAGATTAGTGTTGTTACAGTTTGTGTTGAGTCTTTAACAACCAATCGTTAGCTTCAATAATTCTGTTTATTTATCATCTCTTGATGACACCGTCCAGGTGAGTGTGTTGTGATCAGCTGTTGTCTCCTCCGCCACAACCTGAGAGTGAGTCCTCACAGTTACAACATAATGTACTCCTTGACACCTGCTAGGTGATGAAGTTATCGAGGAAACTTTATAATTCAAACATTAAGTTATACGGGGACATGATTCTATCTTATCCTGATTCATGTAATGACAAAGGGAGTGAAGGTCACAAAACTATAGGAGTTACACTTGTTTTGAGTGTCCGGCCCCTGGGCGGAGCTACAGAACAAAGCCGTCGGTAAGAGTTCGTAACACAGTTTTTGTGTCACACTTGAGGGATGATATATTTTTTTAGTATTATTTATTGGGCACTCCCCTACATCCTTGTGTAAGGTGAAGCGCAGAAGCGTTTACAGCGCCCAACAGGGAAGCATGCTAAGTTCATGCTTGCCTTTGTGTCTCATGAGTTAAGGGCGTGAGTCACGAGGTGAGGGTGAGTCAAAGGTTACCCCTAACTTCTCCCTAACATGAGTATAAGTGACCCTTTCTCTTCAACTAAACTGAGGACAGTGGTGATAGTCGTCCTCACACCTAACATTACACAGTTGACTCAGTCGTTACGCAGTTCTCTTTGGCCCTTTGAATATAAAGTATTATGTGATAATTATAGATTTCTTAACTCAGAAATATAAAGGGACTTTATCCCACTCACCGTCACTATAACTGGACTCTAAGTTAAGTGTCAATAGTGACTTTAACCAAA